TAGAATCATTTCTGTATTACAATCTAATGTGTACCATGTAACGAACACTGGGACATTAGGAAACCTTTTACAAATCTATTCTTTAAGACAAGCTATTCTGAGGTTTCATATGCATCTAAATCTTGGGCCCTACATGAGTGATTTATGGGATTAAATGTAACCTCAGCATTGCAATTTTTGTGTCTCATTAAAAAGGAGAAAACTGAGGTGGAAAAGGGAACAAGCTGCAACCTGGTTTGAGCTCTAACCTTGGGGGAGCCGAGATGAGAACCCAGGTATCTCTCTCCAGGCCAGCGTCTCACAAATGCGACTGGGAGAGTAATGAGTTGAGAGCCCTTTTGTTGCTGTTTTTAATCAGTATATGCTTGCAGCTCATGAAGTTTGCTGTTGTCCTGAGGAATGGTTACATGTACATGATACTGCTTGTTTCTTGCTCCCAATCCCCTTACCTATTGCTACTGCATCAGTTTCTCAGTCCTCTTTTTCTTTTCTTGTTATTTTTCTTCATAGCTGATGCTATGGCATATAATGTTTATATTAATAGTTTTTACATTAATTGTCATAAAGTGTTTACATTTATGCCAGGGTTAGGCATTGCTCAAGGATATATAGCACCTTTTTATTACTCTCATTTAGTCTTTGTCTTATACTTAAGCCTTCCCTTGTTGATTGATTGTATCAACTCCAGACATTTAAAAGCTGAAGTGAATGTCTTTGGGAGCTATACACATTAGGGTGCAGAAGACCCACCTTAGGGTGACTCATTACTTGGACAGTATAAAAGGGCTGGATGAGGAAAAATGACTTCCATTCTTTGGACGAGCTCCAGTCTTTGCAGTTGATTGGACATCATCTTCTGGTTTCCAGTGTAGATCCTTTAACCTTCCAGTGTAGACTCTTCTGCCTTGCAGCATAGACCTTTTCCCTTCTGTCACAGACTCATCAGCCATGGAGATTGCACATGATGCTGAGGTGACCAATCCAGACCCTGGATTGAATCCTTCAGCCTCCAGTGTGCAGACAGCCTCTGCATGCTTCCTCAACAGACTCTGTGGCTGACCATAGCAAGTCTGTCTTGTAATTTCTCGTACATTTGTATATCTCATGTTGTATCTGTTTTCTCTAGTAAAACCCTGACTAATACAGGTTTTCGCACCAGGATTGTCCTAGAGAAACAGAATTGTAATAATGGCATTTTAAAAAATGGTGTTGATGGTTCTTGGATTGGCTCTGCAATTTGGTGAGACCTAAAGACAGCAAGGTCTGCACTTCTGTTTCTGTAGCTTACACAGATAATCCTTGCTGTGAACTGTTTAAACTAATATGCCACATTGATTTTCTAATTCACCGCTGGTCAGATGTGAGAAATTTAGTGACTGTACACATGAAAGTTTTGAATACCTTTGAAAGAGTAGGAAATTTAATAAAGCTGAATGGTGGTCTCAGCCCTCTGGACAAACTAGCAAAGGGAAAATCTCATCTCCAGACACAAATAAGAGACTTACAAGTCTCTCAGTGCGTCCTGAGTGAAAACCTCTTATTTTAGCTTCCCTGTCCCTCAGAATGTGATTGGCTGAAGTACAGTGTAAATTTAATGCTCAAACTCAAAGTGTATTTGAAGCAATGTTGAGGGCACTTATCAGAAAAGAGTGGGATGCCACCCATTTGATGGAATCTGTGGGAGGATCCTGAGGAAGCTGAAGATATTGAGTTTCTGGATGCTAATTAAGTTACTTTATCTAGAAGTAGAAATGGCCGGATGTCAGACTATATACTGTTCTATAGGCTGCAACCAATGGTCTAGCATTTGGAAAGAGCATGATTGTAAAATTGGTGACAAAGACATTTTGGGAAGAGGTATATGGATATACCTCTCCATGTAAGCAAAGAATGTAAAAATATTTGTTTCCCATGTAAACACTCACCAAAAGGTAACATCAGTAGGAGATTTTAGTAATCAACTGGATAAGATGGCTTATTCTGTGGACACTAATCAACCTGCTTCTTCAACCAACCCAGACATAGTCCAATGGGCCCATGTATAGAGTGGCCAAGCTGGCAGGAATGGCGGTTGTGCATGGGCTCAGCAACATGGACTCCCACTGTCCAGGGATGCTCGGGCTACAAAGACTGTTGAATGCCCAGTATGCCAGCAGCAGAGGACAATGCTGAGTCCTCAATGTGGCACCATTCCTCAGGGTAGTCAATTTGTAACTTGGTGGCAGGATGATTATACTGGACCACTTCCGTCATGGAAGGGGCTGTGCTTTGCCCTCACTGGTGTCATGGTTTATCTTTGTTGCCCCCAGGCCTCATGAGTTTGCATTGTGCATTTGTGATTGGTTCATTGTCTAGTGCTTGGATTGATGGTGTCAGTGCTCCATCCACATACAGGTGGACCAGGATGTGATATAATGGCAGGAAGAAGGTGTGTCTCGCTCTTTTGTGGTTTTTTTTCCTTGCTGTTTGCAGCTGCCATGAACTGTGGCCCCACCATGCCTTGAACTGTGCCCCCTCAGTTGCCTTGAAGCCAACTGAGTATGGACTGAAACCTCCAAAAACTGAAAGAAATAAACCTTTCCTTTCCCAACTTTGGGCTTCAAGTATTTTTTCTCAGCAATGAGTAAAAAGAAACTAAGAGAACTGGCATAGATACATATTGTGGATGTGGATTTGCCTTCAATGCACATAATGCATCTGCCAAAACTCCCATCTGTGGATGCACAGAATGCCTTGTCCACCATCACAGAATTCCACATAGCGTAGCCTCTGACCAAGGAACACATTTTACAGCTAAAGAATAGAGGCAATGGGCTGATGCTCATGGAATTCACTGGTCCTACCAGATCCTCACTATCCAAAAGCAGCTGGACTGATAGAATGGTGGAATGGCCTTTTGAAGTTAGGTGGCAACAGCTTGCAAGGCTGGGGTAAGGTACTTCAAAAAGCCAGGTATGCTTTGAATCAGCGTTTACTATATGGCACACTGTGTCTCACACCCAGGATTCATGAGTCTAGGAATTGCAGGTGGAAGTAGGATTGGGGCCACTCGCCATTAGACTTAGTGATCCGTTAGCAAAATGTTTGCTTCCTGTCCCTATGAGCTCATGCTGTCTGGCTTAGAAGACTTGGTTCCAACGGGGAGAAGGATTGTACCAGAACATGAAACAATGGTACTATTGACCTGGAAGCTAAGACTTCTCCCTTGTCATTGTGGTCTCCTATGCCTCTGAGGACACATCCTAAGCAGGGAGTCACAGTGTTGTCAGGGGTAACTGAACAGGACAGTCAAGGGGAAACTGGACTCCTACTCCACAGAGGAGGAAGGAAGAATACATGTGCCATGAAGGAGATTCCTTAGGGAACTGTTTAGTACTACCATGCCCTGTCACTCAGGTCAGTGGAAAATTACAACAACCTAATCCAGGCAGAATGACAAGTGGACCAGAACCTTCAGGAATGAAGGAATGGGTCATTCCACCAAGGGAAAGAACAAAGACCTGCTGAGGTGCTTGTTGAAAGCCAAGAGAATACAGAATGGGTGGTGGACAAAGGTAGCTGTGGAAACCAGCTTCAACCCTGTGATCAATTACAGAAAAGAGGACTGTAATTACCATTTCTCCCCAAATATGATTCTAATGTAACATAATGTTGATATACTTAAGGCTAGCTCTCGGGAATAATTAAATTTGTGTTCAATGTTAAAGTTCTAAACTCCTAGGAGTAAACATCAAACAAAGAAAACTTACATTCTGTTCTGGAAAGGAAATTATTGTGTTTCTGTTTGTATGCAGGATAGTTCCAACATGTTAGGTGCAATCATATGCAATTCTTTTTATCTGGAGACTAGTTTAAAGAAACGTGTCTGGCTGCCTACTAGACAGGGGTGGATTGTAGAGGTTCATCGATTGTGTGAACTTGAGACATTCAGAAACTTAACTAAATGTGTTTTTGCTACACCTAAAGGTGTAGAAGACTCACCCTAGGGAGTCTCATCACCTGGACAGTACAAAAGGGAAGGAGAAAGGGCGAATGAGTTGCATTCCTTGGAGAGCTCCAGTTTTCACCTTTGGTTAAAACATCATCTCCTGGCTTCCAATGTAGACTCTTCAGCCTTCCAGCATAGAGCTTTTGGCCTCTGGCATAGACCCATCAGCCTCATGGTACAGACTTGCTCAAGACACTTAGGGGATCTCAAGGATTTGGACTGACTCCTTGGCCTCCAGGTGCAGACACCCTCTGCCTGCTTCGTCATCCGACTCTGGCTGACCATTATAATCCCGTCTTTAATTTCTTATACATTTGTATATCTCGCGTTATATCTGATTTCTCTAGTAAAACCCTGACAAACAGAGTCCCTCATGTAATTCCTCACCTAATTTGTACCTGGATTCTAAACTTGCTTCACATGCTAACCAGACCTGTATCAGAGCTTATCACCCTCTTATCGGGGCTATAATACAGTCCTGATGTTTTGTGGAAGACCGCAAAACAAAATACTATGAAATAAAAACATGAAAACAAGGTCTTTATCATGTGGAAAATGAAGTCCTTAGCAGAAGTCCCTTTTTCAGCGAGACCTTACTCTGTCTTCCCAGATATTTATCTGGCCTGCTGGGTTCTGCAGCCTCCACTGGGATTTTTTTGTGCTATGTCTTTGTCCATGTTGCCTTATTTTCAAAACTTCTCTCATTTCTGGCTTTTGTCTTCCATGTATTTGAAAAACAGCTTAAAATATGCAACATATCTACAAAGGTTTCCCAAAATTCCACTGCAACAAGAGAGCACAATCTCGTGGCAGCTGTGGGATCCTTGACACAGGTTTCATTCTGTTGATTGTTTCCGCAGTGAGTGTAGATCTCACTCCCTGACTGTGTCACCTGAGGGAAGAGCCACTCACACTCATTTCCCGGTCTGCAGGGAGCCCTGCAGGTGTCTCTCAGCCCACAATAGTAGTCCTGGTGCACTCACACCCTGCCGTGACTTTTCTTATATTACAGAAAGCGCTCCTGGGAGGCCTCCTGCTCCTGGCCACCTTCATAACTTTATGCAGTTCTCTGTGTTTTTGGATTAAGAAAGAATATTTTGATTTAGTTCCCGCACGTGGTAAGTCCTGGGTTTAGTTCACATTATGTGACTGCAGCCTGGTAGATGGGGTCTGATGTCAGGTTAATGTGATTGAATGTACGTGGCAGGAGGGGCAGTGAGTGACAGAAAGACAAACAAGGGCCTCCACCATAGCCTGCATCTACAACAAACATTCTCAGTTCTTTCTGGTTACAGGGCATTTGCACTGTGCTGCATTCCCAAACCTTTTAGGAAGTAGAGGGTGAGAAGCTCCACTGTGCAGCTCAGGGTGGCCTCACACTTGTGAAAATCCTCCTGCCTCAGCCTTCCAAGTGTTGGGATTAATGGTGCATACCACCATGCCCAGGAGTCCCCAGCCCGTTTTAATTTTAATTCTCATTTTAAAGTAATTGTAGTTGGTATTTTTTTGCGACCAGGCCTCACCAAGACACTAAAGGGCTCAAGGCTGGGCTCCAGCTTGCAGTTCTCCTGCCTCAGCCTCCCAGAGTACTGGGATTACAGGTGCACCCCCATGCCCATGTTCACGGTTGCATAAATGAGGAAATGGTATTGTTTCTGGAACAGCAGTTAGTGATGAAGGGATATGATGTCTGCAACTTAATGTCAAACACTCAAGAAAAAGCCTGAGTGTGTTCATGCACACACGAGTGTGTAAAACAAAAAAAATTAATCAAGTACACATGTTAAGAGCAGGCAAGCCTGTGTGAATCATGCTTCAGCGGAGGGGAGAGGACAGAGACCTGGGCAGAGCCCCGGGCTGTGCGGGCTGGCGCACTGGTGACTTGCGCTGAAGCCTGTCTCCTCCTTGCAGCCCCCTTCCCGTCCCCATGACAGCCGCTGCTCTCTGGCCTTTGTCCACGCAGGGAGGCAGGGAGGAAGGTTCTGCTGGTCACTACCACTTATCTTGGGAATGGGATTTTCTCAGAACCCGAGTCTGGTGAGACTGAGCTGTCAGAAGTGCAAAATTTCTCCTTGTCCATAACAAAGACCAAACTTGCTGGTTCCCATTCAACTCTCTATGACTGACAACCAAAATTCACCTTCCCAGACCTATTTAATGCTTCAAATATCTTTCATTCATGTCCTTAAAATAACCCCACATTTGCAGAATTTGTTTCCTCAATGTTGAAACAAACCAGGATCTGAACCCAAAAAGAAAACAAAAAATTCTGTCTGACTGAGCATTACCTGGCAAGAGCTTGAAATGTAAGAATTCTCAAGATCCATCAAAGACATGGGGAAGCAGGATGTCTAGGTTCAGAGCTACATATTCAGAAATACCTTGATTGACTTTTTTTTTTTTTTTTTTTTTTTTTTTTTGTGGTACTGGGGATGGATCTCACCACCTCGAGCTTTCCAGGCAGGCACTTATGCCCTCTGAGCTAAATCCCCAGCCGCTAGCTTAGTTGACTTTTACAAGCAATTAGGGCTGGGAACCACTTTCAGCATCCAAAGAGGTATTCATAGGTTGATGGGTTTACCAGCCCAGGAGAGGTATTAGCCTGAAGGTGCTGACTCTGGGCACCTGGTGGCAGGCAAGTGTTTATTTTCCAGAGCAGATCAGGTGATGTTGAGTGAGTGTCCTTGAAATTCACAAGGTTCCCAGGGTCTCGCCAGCAGATCTAAGCTGTGCTTGAACACTGGCATCGGACAGGGTTTTTTTTAGAGTGCTAAACACATTGTCTAGTGTGTCCACAGCAAGAGATATGGGTTTCAAAGTTTTAGGCTTGGAAACCCATGGGCACAGGTGTTTTCACTGGTTTAGAATTGTTTGTGCTCTTTGTTTCCTTGATTGCTGGAGATTAAAACATTGGTTTTGTTCATTCTGAGCTTGAAATCTTTTCAGTCTCCAAGATTTTGCAGTAGGATCCAAAGATTTGGCTCAGTGGTGCAAGTGTGTGCCTGGCAAACAGGAGGTCATGAGTTCGATCCATACACACACATATATGTGTGTATATATATATGCATATATATATATGTGTATATGCAGTAACATAAGTGATTGAAAGACTCTGTTTCAAAGCCAAACAGAAGTGAACTATTTTTTCAGAGATGCTCAAGCAGAATGACTTGGAACAGCAAGCGCCTGTGACTGCAGTAACAGTAAACAGAAAGGCGTTACTTATGTGCTAAATGTCTGCCTGGAAATACAATCTCCAGAGTAAACTTGGTTCTCAGTGTAGGGAAACGATATTCATGAATGGAATGCACAGACCCTGAATACAGCCGTGCTGCAATGCAGAGGCCTTCCTGAGGCAGCTGTGGAAGGCCTTATGATCATGCGATGGGCAGTGACTTTAGTTTTCTAACACCCATTTTCCTATCACATGGTTTGGGGCTCCACTGATGAGGTCTCTTCTGCTTTACAGGATGTGAGGATCAGGAAGGACGCTGGAATCCACTGTTCTCAACGTGGGAAACATCGCACTGTGAGGTGTGCACTTGCAAAATTCAGGAGATACATTGCTGCACCAAGTGAGTCTCTGGCCCTGCTGGCCAGGCCGGACCTGCTGCTGGCTGATCAACACCTCATGCTCTCATTCATTCATGGAGATAAAAGTTTGTAGCACAGTGTCAGAGTTACAGAAAAAATCCAGTGGAGATTCATAGATTCCCAACTTAACCATCAAATTCATTTCCAGAAGGCCCCCAGTTACCACCCAGGCCTCTATGGGAGGGCACAGTTGCTACCCTCCATCTGCTGGGATCCACACCTGTCATCTCCCGCACTCCCCAGTTTGCACAAGGCAGCATTCCGGAAAGGCCAGTGTGAGGGGAAGTGGGTTTCCATTAGATCCATCCACACCGCTCTGCAGCTCTCATCTCTCTCTCCCACACGCACTTCACTTGCACAGCTAAAGCTCAGCACCTGTCAACCACCACTGTCCTTGTCCCCAGAACATGGCCACACCAGTTGTCCTATCTGCATCTATAAGGGTTATTTCTCTAAGAGATTCAGAAAATAGAACAGTGTGGCACTTAGTAATTTGAGGCTAGTTAAGTGAACTTTGGGTGATGTCCTTAAAATTTACCCATTCTGCAATGTGTTGGAATGCCCTTCATTTCAAGATACATAATACAGTACTGCATGGCTGGACTGCTTTTTGTTTATTCAGTCCTTAAACCAACTCTTTCATTTTCCTTAGCTATTTTTCAAATGTGATCGGCAACTTTTTCAGAAATGTCCCTAGTCATATAGGTGCATAAGGAAAGTGTATCTCACAACCTGGGTTTTGCAATTTGGCCTTATACTCCCTGGAGCCTGGTCTTTACCATATTTGCCAAGAGCGCTGTGCACAGGTAGAGAGAGGGGCTGAGAGATGGGAGGAACACTCTGCAGTCTGCCTTATCCTATAAGTCTTGTGTTTCTTAAGGCTCAAGTTGAGTTCAAAGCTTGCATGATTGCTGCACAAGTTTTGGGCTGGGCATCTATGGAAGCCAACAGAACATAGATAGACCCCTGCCAGCCCATGCGTACCACTCCTTAGTTTATAATGTCTTTCAGTACAAACATTAGTGATTTGCATTTTGTTTTGTGAAAGAACGCAGGCCCTAAAGCATTCTGGAAATGTGAGCCACAACTGAGCTTCCCCCTCATCCATGGAGAATGTCTTTGCTACCAGAACTGCTGTAAAGGAGCAGCTCTCAACTTTGCCTCCCAATCTGAATGTTTACTTACAGTGTTGAGGGGCCTGATTGTTAGTAGATGGTGAAGACAGAGAGAAGTCTGATGGCCAGACTGAGGCTGGTATCCTGGGCGCCTCTCAGGCAGGGCAGCAGCCCTTCATAGCTACATCCTGATTTCCAGGTTTTCCACTGTGTCTGCTGCACACTGACAGTGTGACCCTGTAATGTTCTTGTGTCCTGGCCAGGATCCGGGCTGATGGAAGATTCCTTCTTCACTAGAGAGCGATCCTCTTCCTATTCAGACCCATTTCTGCTTCAGTGCAGGGTCATCCCAGCATGTCCACAGGACCCTCCCCTGTGCTTCCCTGGGACCTGGGTACAGGGTAAGATGGGCTGACCTTAGGAGTGGTGAGGACAGAGACCTGATCCTGGAGTCACGGTGACCTGAGTGTGAAGCTATTTCCTTATACACTGCTGTGTGTCCCAGGGAAAGTTCCTTAGGCTCTCTGAGTCCCACTTTCCTCACCATGAGTTAGGCATTATCAGGTGGATGTGAGAACCGAGATTCTGCAGGTATCCGCTCACCCTGTAGGAACAGCAGCTTCTCTGGGCCTGGCCTGAGGTCCCAAGTGCAGGAGAGGAAAGCAAGGGTACCTGTTCAGGGCTCCAGGTGCCCGTTTCTACCTTTCTGCCAGATTTCCTGCCCCATGCAGTGCATTGCTCTACTCTGGGACGTGTGCTCATTTGTCTCCAAGTCAGAGCCAGCTCCTGCTTCTCAAGAACTCAATCACATCTCATTGTGTCTTCTCATGATCTTTCACTTTTATTTATTTATTTAAAGAAAGAAAATACAACAAAATAGTAAGGTAGAATGATACAGAATTTAAAAAGATATTAGCACTAAAAAATCGCTAGTTGACACATTACATATTGTCATCTTAGAAGTAGTTGTTTGAGTTGTGAAATCACAGCATAAAAAGTGGTAGCCACTCAAACACTGACTGTGCAAACCATTCTGTTCAATGAGCCAACACATTTTAGTAATGTCATCTGTCTTGCACACTTACACACACGGTTATGTCCTTTTGAGGACTTTCCTTCCCTTTCACTTTTAGAACATCTATTATACACTTGGATCTTATTACTTTTTCAGTTTTTATTAGTTTTTACACTAGAGATACAATGTGATATTTAGTAATGTAAGTCTTGTTTATTTCACTTAAGAGGATAGTCTTCATTTGACTCCATTGTCCCTTATAGAACTCAAGGTCATCCTTTTTATAGCTGAGTAATATTCCATTGTAATAAATTACCACATCTTTTTCATCCACTCTGCAGTTGATGGGCATTGGGTTGTTTCCAAGATTTAGCTATTACAAATTGTGCTGCTATGAACATGGGTGCACATATATCATTGTGACATGACCTTTTCAATATTTCTGGGAGAACACCCAGGAGAGGAATACCTGGGTTGATTGGAACTTCCAATCCTAGTTTTTTGAGAAATCTCCATACTAATTTTCATAGTGGGTGCACCAGTCTACACTCCTACCCAAAATGGAGCAGTGTTCCTTTTTCCCGGCATCCTTGCCAACACTTTTTATCAGTTGGTTTCTTAATGGCAGCCATTGTTTCTGGGGTGAGATGAAATCTCAATGCTGTTTTAATTTGCATTTCTTGGGTGACCAGTGAAGGTGAACTTTTCCTCATGTATTTATTTGCCATTTGTATGTCTTCATCTAAGAAATCTGTGTTCATCTCAGATGCCCATTTTTGTATAGGGTCTTTATATTTGGAGGACTTAATGTCTATTCTTTATTTGTTCTGGATATAAGTCCTTTGTCTGAGGGTTTGCTGTCTAAAATTCATTCCCATTCTGTGGGTTTTCTTTTCACTTTGTTGGTGTTTTCTTTTGAAGTGCAGAAACTTTGCAATAATATGAGATCCCAGTTGTTGATTCTTTGAAGCATTTCCTGTGTGGCTTGTGTTATTTTCATGAATTCTCTGCCTACCCATATGTATCCATGACTTCTACCTATCTGTCTTCAAGTAGATTTAGTGTTCCTGTTTCAACATTTAGATCCTTGATGCATTTTGACTTTAGTTTCGTGTATGGTGATAGGCGTGAGTGTAGTTTTAGTCTTTGGCAAGAGCCAGTTTTTCCAACATCAGTTATTAAAGAGCTTATCTTTTCCCTTATGAACATGTTTAGCCCGTTTGTCAAATAGAAGGTGCCTGTGTGTCTGTGTGTCTTTGCAATAGTGTTTGTTTCTAGTCAGAAATTGTGGTGTCTCCTGTCATGACTTTGTTGCCCAGAACTGTCTTTGCTATTCCAGTTTTCTTCTGTTTCCAAATGAATTTTAGGACTGTTTTCTCTAAATCTGTAAAATAATGTATTTTGATTGGGATTGCATTAAATCTGTATAACAGTTTTGAAAGGAGGGCCATTTTAACAATGTTGGCTCTTCCTAGCCAAGAGCAAGGAATATCCCTCCATTTTCTAATATCCTCTTCAATCTCCTTTCTAATGTAGCATAATTTTCAGCATATCAGCCTTTTACATTCCTGGTTAGGTTGATTCCTAGGTATTTCATTTTTAGATGCTGTTGTGGAAGGTGATATTTCCATAATTTCTCTCCTAAAGAGTTCACTTGTGTACTGGAATGCTATTGATTGTTAAGTGTTGACTTTGTATCCAGCTATGCTGCTGAATTTGTTTACTACCTTTGTTCAGACTCTCACGTGAAGTATCGTGTCATCTGCAAAAAATGATCTTTTAACTTGTTTTCCTATCTTTATTCCTTTTATTTCTTTCTCTTGTCTGATTGTTCTGGTTAATATTTCTAGAATTATATTGAATAAGAATGTTGATAGTGGAAACCTTGTATTGTTCCTGATTTTAGTGTGAAAGCTTTCAGTTTTTGTCCATTTAATATAATGTAGGCTGTTGGTTTGTAATATTATATGGCCTTTATGAGATTGAGATAGACAACATGCATTCAGAGTTCCTGAAGGGTTTTTTTTTATCATGAACACGTGTCAGACTTAATCAAAAGCTTTTTCTCCATCTATTGAGATGATCATGTGGTTTTTGTTTTTGACTCTGTTGATGTGGTGTATTACATTTATTGATTTACATATATTAAACCATCCCTGAATTCCTGGAATGAATCCCACTTGATCATGATGTACAATCTTCTTGATGATTATGCATTTTATTTGGCAGTATTTTATTGAGAATCTTGGCATCAATGTTTATTAGTGAGATTGGCCTTATAGTTCTCCTTTTTGGTTGAGTCTTTCTCTGGTTTTTGTATCAGTGTGATATTTGTCTACAGGAGTGATTTAGGGAGGATCGCTTCCCTTTGAATTTCATTGAAGAGTTTAAGGAGTATTGACATCAAATATTCTTATAGAATTCAACCGTGAATCCATCAGGACCTGGGCCTTTCTTTGTTGGTAAATTTTTAATCATATTTTCAATTTCGGTAGCTGATATTGGGTTATTCAAAATTGTTATGTCTTCTGACTAATCTTTCTTAGTTCATATGTTTCTAGAAATCTGTCCACTTACTCTGTTTTTCCCACCCTTGTGAGTAGAGATTTTCAAAGTAAGTGTTCATGATCTTTTGTATTTCCATGGGATCTGTAGTAATTTCCCTTTTTTCAGTCCTTATTGCGTGAGTTTGAGTTCTTTTGTTTCTTTTCTTGAGAACGTTGGCTAGATGTTTACCAAATTTGTTTATATATCAAAACACCAGCTCTTTGATTCATTAATTATTTGTATTTTTTTTAGTTTCAATTGCATTAATTCATGCTCTGATCTTTATAATTTCCTCTCTGCTAGGGGCTTTGGGTTTGACTTGCTCTTTCTCTAGAAGCTTGAGATATAGAATTAGGTTGCTTATTTGTCCTCATTCCATTTACTTGATGTGACAATTTATTGCTGTATATTTCCATCTTAGGACTGCTTTCATTGTGTCCCATAGGTTCCATTATGTTATATCTGCATTTTCCTTGTATTGTAGATATTGTTTTATTTCTTCTTTAATTTCATCTGTAACCACTGGTTGTTCAGAAGGTCGTTATTTAATTTCCATATTTTTATGCAGGTTTTGCAATTTCTTTTGTCATTGATTTGCAAGTTCAGTGTGCTGTGGTCAGATATTATGCATGGGATAATTTCAATCACTTTGTATTTATTTAAGAATGTTCTATGAGTGAAGATATGGTTTATTTTGGAGAGTGTCCCATGTGAAGCTGAGAAGAATATATACTCTGCTGTGGTTGGGTGGAATACTCTGTAAACACCCACTAAGCCCATTGGCCCACAAGTATGATTCAGTTCTGTTATTTCTTTGCTGACTTTTTGTCTAGTTGATCTATCTTTCTGTGACAGTGAGGTGTTAATGTCCCCTATTAAAATTGTGCCCCTGTTTATTTGGTTTTTCATGCCCATTAGTATTTATCTTATATAGTTGGGTGCTCCTGTATTTGGTGAAAATATATTTATAATTATTAGTTCTTCCTCTTGAGGTTTTCCACTAACAAGTATGTAGTGACCTTCTTTATCTCTTTTAATCATTTTAGGTTTGAAGTTCACTTTGTCTGAAAACAGAATAGCTACTCCTGTTTTTTTTTTTTCTTCTGGATTCCTGTTGCATGGAATACTGTTTTCCATCCACTGACTTTTAATCTGTGGTTTTCTTTTCAGTCAGATGTGTTTCTTGTATACAGCATACTGTGGGATTCTGTTTCTTAATCCATTCTGTCAACCTGTTTCTTTTGATAAGTGTATTGAGACCATTTACATTTATGGATATAACTGACATGTACTGGTTCAACTTTGTCATGTTATGTTCCTGTTGTTTGTTTTCTGCTTTTCTCCCTTGTTTAATTTCTTGCCCAGCTTGGTTTCCTTCTGTTTCTTTCTGTGGATTATGGTTATTTTTATGTCTATCTGGTATGTCTTTTTAGGTTTGGTTTGGTGGACATGAATTTCTTCAGTTGTTCTTTGTCATGGAAGTATCTTTTTTCTCCATTAAATTTGCAAGACAGTTGTGTTGGGTACCTCAGTCTGGGATGAAAGTTTTTTTCTTTTAGAACTTGAAATACCTCATTTCAAGTTCGTGTTAACTTGACGGATTGTGTTGTAAAGTCTGTTGTGATTCTAATAGGCTTTCCTTAATAGGTGAGTTGTGTCTTTTGTATAACAGCTTTTAATATTCTGTTTACATGCTGTATGTCTGGTATCTTAATTTTTATATGTCTGGGTGTACATTTATATTGGTTGTAACTGTTTGGTTTTTTATATGCCTCATTTATCTGTATATCAGATTCTTTCTCCATGATTGGGAAATTTTCTGCTATTACTTCTGGGAATAGTTTAGCGATGTCATTTACATTGACTACTGCATCTTCACTGATGCCTATTCTTATATTGTTTCTCTTGGCATCATCTTGAATCTGGTGATTGTCATTTCATGCTGCCTTGTTGTTTTTAAAAGTTCTATCCTTTCATGATTGGTATCTGGGATCCTGTGCTCAAGGTCCAGCACACAGAAAAAGCATTCTGAGCACAGACACAACGTCTGAGCCGAGGTGGCAGGGTGGTCATCCAAGTCAAAGGAGCTGTGTGCCTGATCTTCCACTTTTATTCTGTGTGCAGTACAGAACCCATTGCCTCAGGTTCTGTGGGACAATACTTGAAAGCATGGCACCTCTGCAGGACAATGCCCAGATACTTGTAGGCCTAGGCTGAGTTTCCCTGGATAAGGCAGGTAGGTGACCTGGCCTCAGCTGTGCCCAGGACCAGCCCTGCCCAGGTCCACTATTCAGACTTCAGTGAGAGAGCCACTGGATGCATTGAACCCAGCCTCATCTCTGGACATCTGAGCACATGATGTCTCTGTGTCCCTGCTGAGTCTCTCCTAAATGTGCCCCCTCCCATGCTAGGTGTGTGTAGAATAATGATTTTATTCATTGAGAGTTCTTTTCCCAGTAAGTTGGTTGTGCACACAAATGGCAGGATTTCATTACTAAACTGCATATTCCATATACTACTAAAATCTTTTAACCATTTTAAAGCACTTAGTTGGATAATATTGAATACATTCACAATATTTTTAAACCATTACTTTCTAATTATTTAGAGTATTAGATTCTTTTTTATTATTTCTCTCTGCTATGGATCTTCTGGTGTTGACCTTGAGGTAGAAATTCTCTTATATCACCTCTCCAGGGTACTGGACATCAAGCTGTTGAGCGACAGTCCTTTCTTCCCACATTCCAGTAACAGCTGGGATGGCTACTTTCTTGATAGGAAGAGTACAAAGGTCCAGGTTAGCAAGACCTCCATTCCCCACATTTGGGAGGCCTGCTCTGGCACTGAAAGAAGGTTCCGTACTCTGTGCATGGAGGGTGGAGTTTTTGCAGGTGTGAAGGATGGTCCATGTGACTCTGTGGGACACAAAGTTTCAGGAATCTGAAGCTCAGTTCTGGACTGCTAGTCAGGGGCACCTAGATTGATGAATAGGACCCCATTAAACTGGGCAGCAGGATGGTGCAGGTTGCAGTTACATTCCTGTAAGAAGTCTTGTTCTTTTTCCCATGACAGAGCTGCTTTACCTGTGAATTATGACACAAATAAGTGTCGTATCATCTTGCATCCTGGTAACTGCACCTACTCTGTAGTGGAACGTCAGGACCCACGAAAGCACTGTGCCTTTTCTTCAGAATGACATAATGTCCTTCCTGTGGATCCAATGATCTTGGAGCAGGACTCTCCCTCCTGTGGCCTGTAATAAACTGTGATTTTATGGCCCTGTGTAGCAGTAAATCATTCTACAGAAATCTTGAATGTGCGTGTTCTTTACGTTTACCAATTTAGCCACTTGTAATTGTGCACCACATAAGTGACAGGCATTGAAAGGGGGAAGTCAAATGTAAATAAGAGTAAACTTACAGCAGGCTTAGTTCACTGTAGAAAACCATCATCCATCCCTCACCAGGGTACCATGGTCACCTTGCAACACTTCACACAGCCTTCTACTGTCTGCATCGTACATCTTAATGACACAGTAAAACTAAATGATTTCAAGATTAAATCAGACCCTTTCTTCAGTATATATGTCCATAATCATGCATACTGCTCTCCTGACCTCTCTGTCTCAACTTTTCTTTAGGTCACAGCAGGAAAGGACAGCATAAGATGAGGAAGATCCTGTGGGATGCTGTGCAGCCCCACATGGAATTGGATCCAGGGCTCTGGGTTTAGGGCTCCTCGTGCCTGTGGCTACACATGGACCTCAACTGTGTTGATTTAAAACAGTAAAATATGCACTTTACTCTCAGTGTCTGTGGTAAGGAGCATGAGCTCTATGCTCCAAGCGTTGAGTGTCCAGGGTTAGGCACAAGACTTGGGATCTAGCAATGCACAGTGAGCTCAGGTCTCTGCTCTCCTGAACTTACAGTACTGTCTATCTGTCACACCTCAAAAATGTAATCACAGAGGACCTGATACAGAGCTTCATCCCTCACCCAGCCTTCTCTGTTGAAACTTGCTGTGCATGTGCTGAATAGTTAAGGCAGGCTTGTCAGGGTTTGTGGTCATCCTAGGTGAAAGAACATGCTTTGGTCACCTTGAAAAATTTTGTTGCAGTGTTTGTGTCTGCCCTGAAGAAGGCCAAGAGGATGAGAGAATTGAGCGCTGACCGAGTCCTGCCTCTTTGCCTGAGGAAGGGATCACATTTGCCCTTGCCTGTAGGTTTTATTGACCTTTGGGACTCTCACTTCAAGTCATTTTTCTTCTAATCCCCACAAAGACTAGATGAAGATGCCACAGATAAAGGCAAAAAGAGAGCCAGAAAGCGGCATGTTATAGTGACTCACTGCAGTGGGTTCCTGCAGGAGGGCCGTACCTCATCAGTTAGCACATCCTCAAAAGGCACCAGTAGGCAAAGTGCAGGGGGCAGCACCACAGGTAAATGGTAGAATCCACAGCAGAACCAGGAAATCCTGCTCATTCCTGGGCACCTGTAAAGGAAGGAGGACTGTCAACATCCTTCCCCACTGGGACAGTGGCAGTCAGGAGGGCATGGAATACCTGTGCTGTCCCCTGTGCTGTGAGCAAACACATCTAACAGGGTCCCTTTTCCTAAAAAGGATCACAGGGCTGGGGGCCAGCAAGGATCTTGCGGTGAGCAGAAGTAAGAGCTCTTGGAAAGACACTGTTGAAAACATGTCCTGACTGCTTTTTATTTCCTCTACAACAGAGGAAGTGGACAGATTTCTAGAAACATATGAACAAAGCTCAGTCAAGAAGATATAACAATTTTGAATAACCCAATATCAGCTACCAAAATTGAAAAGGTGATTAAAACTTACTAACAAAGAAAAGCTCAGGTCCTGATGCATTCACAGCTGAATTCTATAAGAAATTTAGAGAAGATCTGATGTCAATAATCCTTAAACTCTTCAATGAAATTCAAAGGGAAGCAATCCTCCCTAACTCATTCTTAGAGACAAGTATCATGCTGATACACAATTCAGAGAAAAGACCCAACCAAAAAGGAGAACTATAGGCCAATCTCACTAATGAACATTGATGCAACGATTCTCAATAAAATATTGCCAAATAAAATGCAGCAAATCATAAGAAGGTTGTACATCATGACCAAGAGGGATTCATTCCAGGAATGCAGGGATGGCTTAACATATGCAAATCAATAGATGTAATATACCTCATCAACAGGGCCAAAAACAAAAACCACGTGATCATCTCAATAGATGCAAAAAAAGCTTTTGATAAAGTCCAACACTTGATCATGATAAAATCCCTTCAGAAACTTGGAATACAGGGTGTCTACCTCAATCTCAATAATGCCTTCTGTGGCAAACCAACAGCCAAAATTATATTAAATGGACAAGAACTGAATGCTTTCACAGTAAAATCAGGAACAAGACAAGGATTTCCACTGTAAGCACTCCTATTTAATACAGTTCTAGAAATATTAGCCAGAGCAATCAGACAAGAGAAAGAAATACAAGGAAAAGAGATAGGAAAAGAAGGGTTATTTGCAGATAACATGATACAATACATGAGAGACTGAACAAACTCTATTATAATACTACTAGAGGTAGTAAACAAATTCAGCAGCATAGCTGGATACAAAACCAACACTTAAAAATCAATAGCATTCCAGTACACAAATAAACTCCTTAGAGAGGGCTTATCTGGAAATAATCACCTTTCACAAAAGCATCTAAAAAAAGAAGTACCTACGAATCAACCTAACCAAGAATGTAAAAGATGTATATGCTGAAAATTATGCTACGCTAAAAAAGGAAATTGAAGAGGATATTAGAATTTGGAAGGATAGTCCTTGCTCTTGGCTAGGAAGAGCCAACATTGTTAAAATGGCCCTCCTCTCAAAACTATTATACAGATTTAATGCAATCCCAATCAAAATACATTAACACACCTTACAGATCTAGAGAAAACTGTTCTAAAATTCATTTGGAAACAGAAGAAACATAGAATAGTAAAGGCAATTCTGGGCAACAAAGGTATGACAGGAGACATGTCTATTTCTGACTTGAAACTATACTACAGTGCCACAGTGATAAAATCAGCATGATACTGGCAAAGAAATAGATCTTAGGATCAATAGAATAGATGTGAACATGCAAACACTATTGCAAAGACACTCAGCTACCTTGTATTTGACAAACGGACTAAACATGTTCATGGAGGAAATGATAGGCTCTTTTATAAGTGATGTTGGAAAAATTGGCTATCCACATGCCAATCACTAAAACCAGACTCACGCCTATCAGCACACACTAAACTAAAGTCAAGATTGGTCAAGGGTCTAAATATTAAAAGGGGAACACTAAATCTACTGGAAGACAAAGTAGGTAGAAATCATGGATACATACAGGTAGGCAGAGAATTCATCAACAAAACACAAGCTGCACGGGAAATACTTCGAAGAATCAACAACTGGGATCTCATATTACTAAAAAGTTTTTGCACTTCAAAAGAAATCACCGACAAAGTGAAAAGAAAATCTACAGAATGGAAAAGACATCAAGCCCCCAAATTCAAAGACACTCTCCAAAAATGGGCATCTGAGATGAACACACATTTCTAAAATGAAGACATACAAATGGCAAATCAATACATGAGTAAATGTTCACCATCACTGGTTACCCAAGAAATGCTAGTTAAAAATGTGTTGAGATTTCATCTCACCCCAGAAACGATGGCTGCCATTAAGAAACCAACTGATAACAAATGTTGGCAAGGATGCAGGGAAAAAGGAACACTTTGGGTAGGAGTGTAGACTGTTGGAGACACTATTCAAATCAGTATGGAGATTTCTCAAAAAACTAGGTTTGGAATTTCCAGTCAATCCAGCTATTCCTCTCCTGGGTGTTTTCCCTGAAATATTGAAAAGGTCATGTCACAGTGATATATGTGCACCCATGTTCATAGCAGCACAATTTGTAATAGCTAAATCTTGGAAACAACCCAATGCCCATCAACTGCAGAGTGGATGAAAAAGATGTGGTATTTTTACACAATGGAATGTTACTCAGCTATAAAAAGGATGATCTTGAGGTCTATATAGGAAAATGGAGGCAACTGAAGACTATCCTCATAAATGAAATGAACAAGACTCACATTGGTAAATATCACAGTGTATCTCTAGTGTAAAAACTAATAAAAACTGAAAAAGTAAGAAGATCCAAAATCTATTACATAATAGATTTTCTACAAGTGAAAGAGAAGACAGTGCTCTAAAGGACATAACTGTATGTGCAAGTGTGTGAGATAGATGGCATTACTAAAATTTGTTGTCTCGTTGAACAGAATGTTTTGCAGTGTTTGACTATCCACTTTTTATGCTTTGATTTCACAACTGAAACAAATACTTCTAAGATGACCATATGTAATGCATCGACTAGCGATTTTTTAGTGTTAATATCTTTTTATATTCTGTATTGTTCGACCTTTTTTACTATTTTGTTTTATTTTCTTTCTTTAAATAAACAAATAAAAGTGAAAGATCATGAGAAGACAGAATGAGAGGTGATTGAGTTCCTGGGAAGCAGGAGCTGGCTCTGACTTGGAGACAAAGGAGCACACGTCCCAGAGTAGAGCAATGCACTGCACGGGGCAGGAAATTAGGCAGAAAGGAAGAAGAGGGCACCTGGAACCCTGAACAGGTACCCCTTGTTTTCCTCTCCTGCACTTGGGACCTCAGGCTAGGCCCAGAGAAGCTGCTCTTCTTACAGGGTGAACGGATACCTGCAGAATCTCAGTTCTCACATTCACCTGAAAATGCCTAACTCACGGTGAGGAAAGTGGGGCCCAGAGAACCTGAGGAACTTTCCTGGGACACACAGCAGTGTATAAGGAAATAGCTTCACACTCAGGTCACCGTGACTCCAGGATCAGGTCTCTGTCCTCACCACTCCTAAGGTCAGCCCATCTTCTTCTGTACCCAGGTCCCAGGGAAGCACAGGGGAGGGTCCTGTGGACATGCTGGGATGACCCTGCACTGAGGGGCAGACGGCAGTCTGAACAGAAAAAGAATCATGCTCTAGTGAAGAAGGAATCTTCCATCAGCTCGGATCCTGGCCAGGACACAACCACATTCCAGGGTCACACTGTCAGTGTGCAGCAGACACAGTGGAAAACCCAGAGCCTGGAAATCAGGATATAGCTGTAAAAGGCTGCTGCAGTGCCCTAGAGACTCCTAGGACCAGCCTCAGATCTGCTGGCGAGACCCC